TCAGGGTTTAGGGTTTAGGGTTTAGGGTTTAGGGTTTAGGGTTTAGGGTTTAGGGTTTAGGGTTTAGGGTTTAGGGTTTAGGGTTTAGTGTATTCAGAGACTGGCTTCTGGGCTTCTGTCTGGTGAACTATCAGGGTACAGGGCATAGGCAAAGTTCCTCTCCAACAAGCTCTTGGGCTTGGGGCTCAGGAATCAAAGCTCGGGCCCTAAAACCCTAAAACCCTAAGACCCTAAGACCCTAAGACCCTAAAACCCTGAAACCTTAAAACCCCAAAACCCTAAGACCCTGAAACCCTAAAACCCTGAAACCCTGAAACCCTGAAAACCCTGAAAACCCTGAAAACCCTGAAACCCTGAAAACCCTAAAACTCTAGCACCCTAAAACCCTTAATCTTAAACCCTAAATCCTAAACCCTCAAGCCTAAAGCCTAAACCCTAAACCCCCCGCTCCCCACCCCCCAATTTCATCGCCCGAGCGACCGTGAGGTTGTCTGTGGGCATCCTTGCCGGCAGCGGCACGTACACCAAGACCTCGGTACCTGCCAACGCTGGGGTTTAGGGTTTAGGGTTTAGGGTTTAGGGTTTAGGGTTTAGGGTTTAGGGTTTAGGGTTTAGGGTTTAGGGTTTAGGGTTTTGGGGCTTGGTCTCACCCTCGCTCAACCCCAAACCCTAACGGACAGCAAAAGCCTAGCTGGGCTGCCTGAGAAGAATCGAAGCCGAGACCTAAAGAAAACTAACCAACCCAAGCTCACGTAAAGCTCACCTGGAATGTCACAAACGCTAAACCCCAAACCTTCAAGGATCCCTTCGGACTTCAATATCTAAGGGCTTTAGAAATACGGGGAAAGGCCTGCGCAGCACGGCAGTGGCTTGCAAAGAGTCACATTGCGAAGCACACCAATCACCAATCCACCCAAAACCCTGAAAAGCCTAAAAACCCTAACATCCTAGGCCCTAGAAACCCTCAAAAGCCCTCAAAAATAGAAAACGTTCATAAACATGAATAAACTGAAGAAAAAAACCTAAAGCCTGAACCCTGAACCTCGCGCATGAACCCGGCATTGAAAGGCAACTCATGCTGGACTTGGGGATATACTTTCTGCTTAGGAGTCCGCCACAAAAAATGGGAAAAGATTATTATTCCTCATAAGGGCAATATGGGGATGAGTATCTTTTACCTTTTTTTGGGGGGTTCTTAGGCAAAGAGTAGGGGGTTCGAGGCATGGAGCTTGTAAGGCTTTAAGACGTTGACGGCGATCAAAGCACTTAAGGAGCTAGACCCAAAAACAACCCAGGAAGGTGCCCTTCTGGGTTCAAAGGGTTTAGGGTTTAGGGTTTAGGGTTTAGGGTTTAGGGTTTAATAAAGGAACCTAAAGCTGCAAAGAGGAACTAATGGCCTACTCTGGTTCGGAGTGGTAAGGTTGAAGAAGCTTAAGGCGTTCAATAAGCGCCTGCGGAGTTCAAGGTTCAGGGCCCCGCGTTGCATGTCAGGATCCAGGTTGCCACGCCACATGATTGCTCCAAAAAAGCACACTGCTTTGCTTCAGGATGAAAGCAGCAGGGTCCACCATGAGCAACTTGAAAAGCCAAAGGCCCTGAACCCCAACTAAAAGCCATAGTTATGAAAAAAAGACGAACAAGAACCCTAATCATCATCAAACCCCCCAGACCCTAAGCCGCAAGAAACCTCAGCCGCTCCGTTCAACCCCTAAACCCTAAACCCTAAAACCTAAAACCCCAAATCCCCCCGTTGCCGTGCCCAGGCCTCCTTCCACCGGCGCACAGTCTGGGAAGGCAGACTTCTCAAAGGGCTTCAAGGGGTCCGGGGGTCGAAGGGGTTGGGTTCTGAAGTGTAGATATCTTCGGACCAGGGAACTTCGCGCCCCTAAACCCTAAACCCTAAACCCTAAACCCTAAACCCCAAACCCGTGCTTTAGGATGTCCGAGGTTCCTTTGGTTCTTTTGTCAGCTGAGTGGCTTATGCTGTTCTTGGGCTGGAGGTTTCCATCGCGGAGGAAGACCCCCAAGCCCCAAGCCCCAAACCCTAAACCCTAAACCCTAAACCCTAAACCCTAGACCGAAGCTTCCTACCCGAAATCCCAAGCGGAGCTGCCCATAAAAGCCGAGGTCACCCAAAGCGGGGTTGGTTCATGTGGTCACTTCTTGGGGTCCTGATCGTAAGGTGGCCCCTATTTTTTTAGGGTACCCCCAAAAAGGGGCCCAGAATTTTGAGAAGTGACCATGTGGCTCCACAACTTCGAGAAGACGACCGTTTTCCAACATGCTGCAGCTGGCAGAAGCACGTCATAATAGCTTTCAGTACGCAGCAGGGAGGCTCCTGGATAAGCCTCTACCCCCCCTTAGGATTCACGGTTTAGGGTTGAGGGTTTAGGGTTCAGGGTTTAGGGTTTCGGGCTACTTGGAGGTTCCTGGACAAGTAGTCACTATAGCTTTAGATGGTTGTTACCTTCCAGAGGGTACGTATTTCCTACCCAGGCCCATGAACCTTCAAGTAGCCCAAAACCCTAAACCCTAAACCCTAAACCCTAAACCCTAAATGCTAACTGTCCTTAACTTGGTAGTCCAGTAACCATCTTATAATAAAGGCACCCTTTTGGGTTGGCTAGTTTCTAAGGGAAACCAGAACCCAACAAAAGGGTAAAGGGTAACATTGGGCTACCAAGTTAAAATAGGGATTGTCACCGGGGGTACCATAACGCCGATTAAGGAGTGTTTAGAAAAAGGCGGCCAAGCAGAGGGCTGAGGGTTTTAAGGGACACGGAAGCCCCAAAGCACTCGAAAGTTGTCTATTTCTGTTGTTGAGCTGCAAAAGGGGGCTTAGAACTCCCAACTGGGGATGTTCCCCCTTTCTTCTACCAGTCCTTAATAGGGATTCTAGTACCTGAGCCATCCCTACTAAGGACGTATAAGGGGGAACATCCCAACTCCCAACCTCCAGCACCGCGCCTGGCTCCACATGTGTCGGGCCGGCGTCTGGCCACCGGCAGTACCTCGGTCGCAGGCTTGGACGCTTGCAAACTCCAGGGGCGAGTTTGGGTTTAGGGTGTTCACGTTCCTCCCTGGCACGGACCGTCCTTACTAGGGATTATAGTGCCCCCGATTAAAATCCCTAAAAAGAACTGTGAGTATAAGGGTGACCATCCCAAGCGCAGGGTACCCCTCCCCCCCCCCCAAAAAAAAAAAAAACTGCTCGTATTCGCGGAGGCTATGAGTCACCCGAAAAGTCACCCCTAAACCGCCACCTTGGACCCCAAAATCTTAAACCCCCAAACCCCAAAACTCTAAAACGGTGCCGCAATCCAAAACCCTTCAACCCTAAACCGTCGCAATCCCAAACCCCAAAACTGAAACCATAAAACCTTACACTTCGAACCCTAAAGCCCGAAAACCCCAAACCCGAAATCTAAAGTCTCAAAACCCCAAAATCCCTTCATGCCCACCCTACAATCCAATACCCTAAATCCTGCACCCTAAAATCTGAGGCAAGCCCCTGAAAAAAATTGAACCCTGAAACCCCTCAAACCCTTAAAGCCCTTCAAACCCTTACTTAAAACCCTCAAACTCTCAAAACCCTTAAAACCCTCAACACCCTCAAAAACCCTTGAAACCGTCTACACCCTCAAAACCCTTGAAACCTTAACACCCTCAAAACCCTCAAATCCTTGAAACAATAAAAAAACCCTTAAAGCCCTCAAATCCGTGAAACCCTCAAAAACCTTTAAACCCTCAAAACCTTAAACCCTAAACCTTAAGCCCTAAGTTCTAAACCCTAAACCCCAAACCCTAAACCCTAAACCTTAAGCCCTAAGTTCTAAACCCTAAACCCTAAACCCTAAACCCTAAACCCTAAACCCTAAACCCTAAACCCTAAACCCTAAACCCTAAACCCTAAACCCTAAACCCTAAACCCTAAACCTAAACCCTAAACCCTAAACCCTAAACCCTAAACCCTAAACCCTAAACCCTAACCCATCCAAAGCCAAGGTGCCACAGCATGGTCGCCGTCTGGCTCGAGACGTTCAGGGCTCGGCGTCGCATCTGGAGGAATGCAGGGTTTAGGGTTTAGGGTTGATGGGGGACTTGGGGTTGGCGGGGTTAGACTCTACATTTGTACACACATACACACAAACCCTGAACCCGAAACCTCATATGTGTCATAAGTGCGTATAGTCTATCTAGCTAGCTATCTATATGAGTATATACATATATATATATATGTCTATTTGTATTTACTTAGTTGTCCAGTAACCTGGGGGGAAATAAAGGTTAGCCTTGGGGATTATAAGGGGGAATATACTACCCCAAAAAGGTTCAAGGTTACCTACTCTACTCTATATACATGTAAAGATCTATGCATCGGTATCGGGCTCAGGACCTTGTGTGTTGGGATCTAGGATCCCGGTTGCTCGTATCGTTTGGGACTCGAGGTGTAGGGTTTTGGGTCGGATTCAAGACCCTAAACCCTAAACCCTAAACCCCAAACCCTAAACCCTAAACCCTAAACCCCTAAACCCCTAAACCCCTAAACCCTAAACCCACCCTAAACTTCAACCGCACCTGTTTGATCTGAATGCCCGGGCAGTCTGGGGGAGGCCTCGACTCTCTTCGAGTCTACATTCCAGGTTCATGGTTCTCGGCAGGGTTCTAGGGTTTAGGGCAGTTTAGGGTTTCGGGTTTGGGGTTTAGGGTTTAGGGTTTGGGGTTTAGGGTTTGGGGTTTAGGGTTTGGGGTTCAGGGTTCAGATGGCTTTAGGGGGCCGCAGTTATAGCCCCCAACATGTATGCAAGCATGAACGTTCAGGAACCCTGCAGCCTAGACCATAAACCCAAAACTTGCGAGAGACCCTTCAGCGAAAGCTTCTCCGGAGGCATCTGGCTTCAACCAAAACCGCAAACACGTACACTAAAGTTATAGATATTGGCACTCCACACATCGTTTTACTTCTCCATTTATGGATCTACGGAAGGGGCTCACCGGTTTTACCATGTATACCTATGCATGTACATACATACATATGTATATCGGTGCCTATACATACATACCTATATTATATGTAAATACCTGCTTTATATATACATATCAAAATATAGTGTGTGTGTGTGTGCGATATGTATATTTATACTCACACATACATACCACATACATCCTTACATATTTACATACACACGCACAGACAGACAGACAGACAGGCAGACAGGCAGACAGGCAGACAGGCAGACGCACGTACTTGGAGTTTACCGTCGAAAGTTGCAGGCAGAGCTTCGGGGTCTAGGGTAGAGCCTGTACCTCTCTAAGCCCAAGCTCATTGCCTGGAAGTCTCCCTTGAACTCTTTCAGGCTCTTCTGGATGTCCTTCGGACCTGCGCAAATCATACCGGGCATCTTAGAAGCACGGCTGCTTTAGCCCTCGAACTCGCGGTTTACGGTCTAAGCCTTCATTCGCTGGCAGGCTCCCTACATAAAGTTTTAGGGTTTAGGGTTTAGGGTTTAGGGTTTAGGGTTTGCTTGGACGCCTGCACCCCTACACCACTAAATCCAGCCACAGCCCCAAGCCAGACGCAAAAGGATTTAGGGTTTAGGGTTTAGGGTTTAGGGTTTAGGGTTTAGGGTTTAGGGTTTGGTCTAACAATCATGGGCCGCTTTGGGGGCTGTATCATCGTCTACGCCTTCGCTTTTAAGTTCAACGCCCATGTGCCAAGATTTGCTGTGGCTCGTGCCCCATGTCTTTCGGATGTGGTTTAGGGTTTGGAGTCCTGAGGTAAGGTAGGCAGGTGAGTCGGCACGGATCGTTGCGTGCTTGATGCTTCCAACAGCCCTTCCATTCTGCGGACGAGGGAAACCGAAGCCATTTGCGTAAGAGGGCAGGGTGGCCCACCCTGGGTGGCTGAACAAAAACCTAAACCCTAATCTCTAGATCCTAAACCCTAAACCCTGAACCCTGAACCCAACTTGTCAACTGCAGGCCATATGAACTCCAAACGAAGCCCAGAGGAGCCCTAAAGCTCAACAGTCCCCCAAGATCCTCCCCAAGTATCCCATACACCCCAATGCCCTACTCCATACCAGGGCCCTAAACCCTGAAGCCTAAACTAAACCCTAACCCCCTAACCCCCTAACCCCCTAAGCCCTAAACCCTAAACCCTAAACCCTCAAGGCTTCCCGATTGCCTTGCGCCAAGCCGTAACCGACCTTCTGCTCGGAGGGCATGTGCCTCACACCGACTCGGAGACTCGCTTATTTTTTTGGGGGGTTTAGGGTTTAGGGTTTAGGGTTTAGGGTTTAGGGTTTAGGGTTTAGGGGTCTAGGGTCTAGACCCTGAATTTCAGGGGTCTAGGGAGCGAGCCTTATTTCTGGAGTTTAGGCTTGAGGGTTTGGGTCTAGGGAATATTCCTTAGGTTTTGTCATAGGGACCCTTCATGCGAGAGGAATCTTCCTTCATGATGGGAAAGTGGACTGTGGATTTCAGGGGAGTTCGGGCGCTTCGGGGCTTTCGGGGCTTTAGGCTGCATAAGAGTTTCGGGTTTCGGGTTGTATTGTTTAGGGTTTAGGGTTTAGGGTTTAGGGTTTAGGGTTTAGGGCTTAGGGTTTAGGGTTTAGGGTTTAGGGTTTAGGGTTTGGGGTTTGGGGTTTGGGGTTTAGGGTTTAGGGTTTAGGGTTTTAGGGTTTAGGGTTTAGGGTTTAGGGTTTAGGGTTTAGGGTTTAGGGTTTAGGGTTTAGGGTTTAGGGTTTAGGGTTTAGGGTTTAGGGTTTAGAGTTTAGGGTTTAGGGGCTGCTGGGGTCCCACCCTCCCTCCCGCCGCAGGGTCTGCTCCACTTCGTTGGCAGGGTGCGTGAAGCGGTCCGGCCTGGGGCGTTTCTGTGCCGAGGGCTTGTTGAGAGCTTGTAGGGCTGCTTCAGGATTTTCTCAGGGGGGGTCGCCGGGATTCCCAGAATCTCCAAGACCCCTTATTTACCCAAGAATATTCTTTGAGGGCGGGCTCTTTAGAAGCCTAAAGCCCTTCTTCCAGGTTCCCCGGTAAACTAGGAGAGAAGAGGACATCCTTCCTCGGAACTCTGGAACCAGCACAGTAGGCCCTAAACCCTAAGCCCATCCTCAACCCAGTTTTGTGTTTAGGGTTAAGGGTTTAGGGCTACTCAGAGGTTCATGGGTTGCGAGAAGTGTGGTGTTTCGTAGGGTAACTGCAACACCAACTGGCCAGCACCTTGTTCTAGTGCACCCTAAACCCTAAACCCTAAACCCTAAACTCTAAACCCTAAACCCCAAACGCGGGAGAATGGCGTCCAGGTGAAGCCGCCATCGGTGGAGACCTTGGAGTGACCACCCCAAGCTCGGGAACTCCGCCGTTCCAGGACGATTTGCGCAAGAACCCAAAAAAAAGAGTAAATCATGATAATAATAATACTAATACTAATACTAGTAATAATAGCAATAATAATAATAGTAATGATAATAATAGTAAAAATAATAGTAGTCGTAAGAATAATAGTAATGACAATAATCTATTGATAATAAGAACTATTCTTCCTTATAAGGGCAGTATGGGGATAACTATCTCTTGTTTTTTTTTTGGGGGGGGGGGGGCTCTTTAGCAAATAGATCCCTGTATTGCCGTTATATTTTTTGGAGGTTCGGGGTTGAGGGTGGCACGGTGAGACTCACAAGGCAGGAGAGTAGAGCGTAAGATGCTCCCCCTATACGAACAGTCCTTAAGAGGGATTCTAGTACCCTCCTGTTATAATCCCGTATTAAGGGGGAGCATCCCAAAGAAGAGCTTTTGGGCTGCTGGTGCAGCGCGTAGCTTTTCGGTCCAGGAGGACGGTTGGAGATGCCCGAGACCCTAAACCCTAAACCCTAAACCCTAAACCCTAAACCCTAAACCCTAAACCCTAAACCCTGCACCTTGCAGCAACTTTCCTCAACTCGAGAAACCCTCAGGCACAAACCCAGGACGTCTGCTGGAGGCGATGGGGCTACATCATGCTCAGGGCTGGACATCACGCGGAGCTCTGGGGTATGTGAAGGCAACGGGTTTCCGGAAGATTTCTTTGGGGCTAGCCCTAAACCCTAAACCCTAAACCTTAAACCCTAAACCCTAAACTGGATTCGGTACTGGGATCTCAGGGTTTGCTTCTAGGACTCAGGGTGGCCGTTTCAGGTCCACTACGCACCTTTTGTCATCACAAGACGCTGTTGTTGTTCAACCCCCTTATTCCCAGATCTTCCAAAACCCCTTAATTAAGGAATATACCCTAATTTATACTAAGGATCCTTATTATGAATTAGGGTATATTCCTTAACTAAGGGGTTTTGGAAGATCAGGGTTAATATAGGGACCTTAATGATTACAATAGGTTCTTTGTGGGGGGGGGGGGAAATAGTGTAGTTGCATAGGGGCCATAAGGGAACACGATGAGAAATTATTTCGACCCCTATATACCCAGCCCGGAAACCCCTTTAAACTTGAGGCTTGAGGGTCATACACACACACACTCACATGGCCAGCGCAGGGTTGAGGGCTGCGGGGGTTGAGAAGGCAAAGACTCCAACAAAGAAAGCTTCCCGAAACCACCCTGAACCCTAGACCCCTCAACAACCCAAACCCCAAAATACGAAACCCCTATCCTAACCCCCCCTTAAACCCTAAACCCCCCCTTAAACCCTAAACCCCCCCTTAAACCCTAAACCCTGCACCCTGAACCCTGAACCCTAAACCCTAAACCCGAAACTGTTCTGAGGAAGCCGCCCGCACCTGCACCGGCAGCGTGGTGCCCTGCTCCACCACGGCGCCTAGTGGCGACGGCGAGGCCTGGAGCTTTCTTTGACTCAGGTTGAGGGTTTAGGGTTTAGGGTTTAGGATTTAGGATTTAGGGTGAAGGACTCCGCCGGGTACCGAATCCTTTCAGGACAACTTCAGACCTAGAGGCTTCCCATAGGGGGTACTGCCAGCGCCTGAGATGGGCCTCGAGAATTGAGTTCTCCTACAAGAAACAGAAAGAAAGCTTGTAAGAAAACTTGAAACTCCAACGACGCAAGCGATCCTCTTACGGGCTTGCCTGGATTGCTACGACCAACCCTCTCCTGCGCACCACGATCCCTCAGGGCCTCCGAACATCCTGCAGCTTGCGCTCAACCCTAAACCCTAAACCCTAAACCCTAAACCCTAGCACCCGACCCTGAGCTCCTTACCCTAAAACCTGAACCTCACACCTTGTGAGGGTCCAGAGCCTGGACCCTCACAAACAATCACAAGACCGACCTTTGCCAAATCCCAGGCTGCAAGCTCTGCTAAGCAAGTGATGTCCGAGCTCATGGCATCGGGCGTCTCAAACTCCACAACATCCTGCAGGTTAGGGTTTAGGGTTTAGGGTTTAGGGTTTAGGGTTTAGGGTTTAGGGTTTAGGGTTTAGGGTTTAGGGTTTAGGGTTTAGGGTTTAGGGTTTAGGGTTTAGGGTTTAGGGTTCCGAAGTGCCGCGGTCCCGACAGCCAGTCGGGCCGCCTCGGTGCAGCGGATCCCACCCCAGCCACCCAAACTATCGCCTTTTTCGGGTTTAGAGCGGTCTAACCCCAAGTGGGCTTTCACCTCGACTCTCCCCGATGGCCGGGATGGGAGGTGTGACTGCTGCTGCTGCTGCTGCTGCTGCTGCTGCTGCTGCTGCTGCTGCTGCTGCTGCTGCTGCTGCTGCTGCTGCTGCTGCTGCTGCTGCTGCTGCTGCTTGTTGAGCCTACATTTTCCTGGATCAACAGGGAGCGGGACAAGCTGTTTCATCCGTGCTGTGTTTAAGGCACCCTCAAGCCCATGGCTAAGCCATGGCGGGGGGCAACCCTGGCGGGGGCAACCCTGGTGGGGGCAACCCTGCCAGGGCAACCCTGCCAGGGCAACCTTGCCAGGGCAACCCTGCAACCCTGGCGGGGACAACTGAGGGCAACCCTGGTACGAGGGCAAACCTGGCGGGGGCAACCCTGGCAGGGGCAACCCTGGCGGGGGCAACCCTGGCGGGGGCAACCCTGCACCCTGGCGGGGCCCTGGCAGGGGCAACCTGGCGGGGGCAACGCTGGCAACCCCGGCGGGGCAAACCTGGCGGCCAACCCTGGCGGGGGCCACTCTGGCGGGGGCAGCTCGGGCGGGGGCAACCCTGCTTGGAGGTTCATGGGACTTATAAGAACCACTTATAACTGGGCTTATAACCCTTACTTATCATTGGGATAACCCCCAAAAAACTCTTTAGAGGTATTATAAGTAGGGTTATAAGTACAGTTATCAGTGGTTCGTAAGTAGCATGAACCTTCAAGTGGCGGGGGTTGGGGGGGGGGGGGGGTACTGGCCCTGGCGGGGGCAACCCTGGTTAATCCATTATTACATTGTGCCCTATGGCTAGCAGGGATGCATCAGGTGTGGCAAGCTCGATCTGTTTGGCAAAGAAAGCAGATCTCGAAGCGGTAGCGTTCAGTTGTACCGGCCGCCGCCTGGCGCGGGCGGCCTATGGTTTAGGGTTTAGGGTTTAGGGTTTAGGGTTTAGGGTTTAGGGTTTAGGGTTTAGGGCTTAGGGTTTAGGGTTTAGGGTTTAGGGTTCAATCCTGGCTGCCGACCGATTTTGGCTCCGAGGAGGGTTTGGAACCTTTTTCGAGGACTTGGGGGGGGGGGGTCTTCGGAGCGCGTTCGGAAGCGTTCGGGGGTGGATCTCTGGACGCAGCCCTACTTAATCACTACTCATGACCCTACCAGTAGCCCTAAACCCTAAACCCTAAACCCTAAACCCTAGTAGCTTAGGGAAGCCAAGGACCCTGGCGCCTTGTCGACCACGGTTCCCTTGACAATGAGGTCGCAGATTGGGGACTGTGATCTCAGTCTGACCTCGATTCATGGGTTTAGGGTTTAGGGTTTAGGGTTTAGGGCTCAGGGCTCAGGGCTTAGGGTTTGGCATCAATGTCACGAGTCGCGCGATGTGACAAATGAGACGTCACAGCAGGCACCCTGATTCAGATGACGTCTAAATGTAAAATTTGCTTGCCCGTGGTTAGTAGGCTGAAAGAAAGGCCATCGAGAGCTCTCATCGAAACCGTAGACTGATTCAGCCAACATGTGAGATTTCTCGCCGAATCGTGGCCTCCATCTGACAACCCTCGTAAACCCTTGTAAGCACCCCGAAAACCCTAAACCCTAAACCCTAAACCCCTAAACCCTAAATCACTGCAAACCCTAACACCCGAAGACACGTTTAGGGTAAGTCCTTCAACCCCCTTATTGCTGCCTATGCTTATATAGCTACATAGCGCTTTTGATAGCGAGGCTCAGACAGTAAACACGGAAACGAGGGCTGAACAAGAAGATGCTGCTAGTACCCTTTAACCTCGCAATAAGCGCATGAGCCCATGTATTACTAAGAGGGCGCGACCTGGAAACCGCGAAAAGTGGAACGTTTCTTGGGTGTTTTCCTCCTTGGAGACTAGACCCTAAACCCTAAACACTAAACCCTAAACCCTAAAACCCTTTCCTAGGATGGCCCCTTGAAACATTCTGAAAATATTCCCGGATATGATCCTCTTAAACCCAACAAGGGAAGATATGAAATGTCCCAAGGGCCTACCTAGTTATTCAGGGTTTAGGGTTTAGGGTTTAGGGTTTAGGGTTTAGGGTTTAGGGTTTAGGGTTTAGGGTTTAGAGTTTAGGGTTTAGGGTTTAGGGTTTAGGGTTTAGGGTTTAGGGTTTAGGGTTGAGCGTTGAGGGTGTAGGGGGGAGAGACCTTAAACTGCATGGGGTACCATGCTCTGAGGAAAGGTTGCCCACTTGGCTGCGATGACGATCCGCATAGAGGTTCGATCCAGGGGTGGCAAGATGTGTGTACCAGATGGGTGACGAGAGATAGCTGAAACGGATTCCGGGGTCAAAACAGCTGGGTATAGGGTTTGGGGTTTAGGGTTTAGGGTTTAGGGTTTAGGGTTTAGGGCTTAGGGTTTAGGGTTTGGGGTTTACTGTGAGGCACGAAACAAACACCCATAAAACCTCCAAGAAGGTAGAAGCAAAACCACCTGCTGGGTGAGAGGGCATGAGGATGACTTGGGTTCTCTCCCATTCTAACCCTAAACCCCCATGTCAACCCTAAACCCCAAAGCCCTAAAGCCCTCCCCCCCTGGAAGCCACCCTCCCCCCAGCAAACCCGAAAAGAACAAGAAACAGTCGGACATCCCAACTTCATTGGCCCTTAAAGCCCCTCATTTAGGGTTCAGAGCTTTTAGGCTTTGGGGTTTAGGGTCAGAACATGCTCCTCTGCATCCCAATGAGGGAGGGCATACATACTTTGGCCCCCAAGTGTCTACCTGGCAAAAGTCTCTGCCGACCTAAAGCCCCCCCCCCCCCCCCAGACCTCTTGAGGGCTAAAGGGCCGAGGACACCTTCGAGTGTGCTGTGTGGGGTTTGAGTTTAGGGTTTGGGGTTTTGGGTTTGGGGTTAGGGGTTTACGGCTTGGGGCTTCAGGAGTTTGGTGTTTCTTGGGGCTTGGGGCTTTGAATCAAGGAGTCTGCATTAGACAGCTTGGTCTCCCGCCTGCACGTTCATGGTATTCTGAACCATGAAGGTAGACGACATGGAGCCGGTGGAAGTCTGGCGGGCTGCGGATGCTTGGAGGTTCAAGTGGGAAGCCAGTAGGTGGGCCCACTCTAAGTAGAGAGTTACAACAGGGCGGGGGGAGGGGAGTGGGGGAGGGGGTGACCACTCTGTCTGCCTCGCCCTCCCCCGTACCTATTTCTAGTCCCGAAACGGAACCTGTCAGGGATCCCCGGGTTTGGGCACCAAACCTAAACCCTAAACCCCCAAACCCCAAACCCTAAACCCTAAACCCTAGCACCTCCGATGCGCTACCTACTGCCCCTTCTTTTCACAGGTGCTGAGCTGCCGACCCGAAAATCGATCGCATGCCGCCCAAGCTGACAGGTACCCCCCACTCCGACAACATCGGTGCCGAAACCAGGCGGCACTCCACACCCCCTAAACCCTATACCCGCAACCCTAGACCCCCAACCCTAAACCCTAAACCCTAAACCCTAAACCCAAAAACCCAAACTAGGCGCAGCTCCAAACTGGGCCTTGACCGTCGGCGGGTCGTAGGGCAGCCCCGTGACGAAGGCCCGGATCTGGCAGCTCTTTTTAGGAGTGCTAGGGTTTAGGGTTTAGGGTTTGGGGTTTAGGGTTTAGGGTTTAGGGTTTCGGGTTTGGGGTTTAGGGTTTAGGGTTTCGGGTTTAGGGTTTAGGGCTTAGGGCTTAGGGTTTAGGATTTAGGGTTTAGGGTTTAGGGTTTAGGGTTTAGGGTTTAGGGTTTAGGGTTTAGGGTTTAGGGTTTAGGGGATGGCTCCGGGCTTTCGACTTTTACTTCCTTGTCCAGTAGCCGAGAAAACTAAAGGTCAACCTCGGGGCTTCTATAGGGATTATAACCCCTACAAAGGTTCAAGGCTATCTGCTCTACTACTAAGTCTAGGGTGTTAGAGGGCTTGAGGGATTTTTGGGGCTTGAGGGCGTTTAGGGCGTTTAGGGCTTTGGTACCTGGGGGTTTTAGGGTTTTCGGGTTTAGGGCTTAGGGTTCAGGTTTCGGGCTTCGGCTTTAGGGTTTATGGAGCTGTTGAGGTCCTTGGCTTCAGGGGGGGGGGGGGGGGGGTTGGGTCTCTTTTCGGGTTCTGCTTAGGGTTTAGGGCTCAGGGCTTAGGGCTTCGGGTTTAAATTTGTGCTCAAAGCTTTCGAGCTGTTGAGGCACGAACGAAGAAGTCGAAGATTTTCCCGCCCGAGCCCCGAAGCTTTCTTCTCACTACGCCCCGGGATCACCTTTCACATTTGTTGTCAAAGCCGCGCTGCTTCGTTTTGGAAAGTTAAGGATTTAGGATTCCTAGGGTGTGGGGTTTAGGGCTCACGGGGTCTCCAGGTTACTTGCCTACTTGATCCCGTCTGTGGATGTCAGCACCAGTTGCCTAGAGACCCAGAACCCCGACCGGACCCCTATACGCACTTCACCCTGAGCCCGAAACCCTAAACCCTCAGCTCCGTGCCCCTAAACCCTCAACCCCATGCCCCTAAACCCTAAACCCTAAACCCTAAACCCTAAACCCTAAACTCTCTAGGACCGTGGGATCTTGATTTCCCAGAAGGCTGCTGTGCCCCACTATTCTTCGGTCCATCGATTGGCCTCAAGAACCCACAGGCCTGAGTCCCCAAAAAAACAACCCAAACCTGCAAGCCCCAAGCTTGACAATGACAATCATCATAGAAACAGTAACCATAATAGTAACAACATCAGCATAACAATAAGAGTCAGAATAACGGAAAGAGTGGCAATATAGACAAAACCCTAAACCCTAAACCCTAAACCCTAAGACATACTCTTCTTATGCAAGGACATCGCTGACATAGGACTGGGGGGGCTCAGGAGGCCTTCGTCCCACCGCCAATGGGCGCCACGTTGGGCGTCACCTGACCCAAGACGGGTTTAGGGTTTAGGGTTTAGGGTTTCGGGTTTTCGGTTTAGGGTTTAGGGTTTAGGGTGTAGGGTTTAGGGTTTAGGGCTTAGGGCTTAGGGCTTAGGATCTAGGGTTTAGGGTTTAGGGGTTAACTAGGCAGATATTCGATCCGGGGCGAAAGCCCCGAGAACCCAGAAGCCCGATGACACCCCGAAATCGCGACTCCGATCAGGTTGTTTTCCACCCTCAAGCTCGGGCTTCAAGCTCCAACCAAAAGACTTACCTCTGAAGCTCTAAACCCTTACAGCCCTGACATCAGTGAAAGCCCCCCCTAAACCCTAAACCCGAAACCCTAAACCCTAAACCCTAAACCCTAAACCCTAAACCCTAAACCCCACTACTCCCAAGCTGAGGGATCCAAGCCTTGTAGACGGTGCTTCGGGCCTGAAGAGTCATTGTCGGGGCTTCGTTTGCTGGGCGACTTTACGGAAGTCTGGGTTTAGGGTTTAGGGTTTAGGGTTTAGGGTTTAGGGAGGTCTAGGGTTTAGGGTTTAGGGAGGTCTAGGGTTTAGTGTTTAGGGTTTCGGGTCTAGGGTTTGGGGTTTGGGGTTTGCGGTTTGGGGTTTGGGGTTTGGGGTTTGGGGTTTAAAGGGTTTAGGGTAGGCTTGCGGCCGGGGAGGTAACTGGCTCTATGAGCTTCCAGTATGTCATGCTTCCCCTTTCAAACACTGACCATGGGCGGCTTGATGCCCCTAAACCCTAAACCCTAAAACCCTAAAACCCTAAACCCTAAACTCTTAACCCTAAACCCTAAACACCCGAAAGCCCAGCTGGGAGCCGGACGAAGGCGATGGCACCTCAGCGGCGCGGCTCTAGGGACACCCTGCTTAGCTCTGAAAAAAATACTCCCGGAACCTTAAGCCCTAAACCCTAAACCCCTTAAACCCAATAAGGGAGAATATAAGATGTCCCAAGGGCCTGCCTACTTACTCAGGGTTTAGGGTTTAGGGTGTAGGGGGAGAGACCCTAAACTGCATAGGGTACCACGCTCTGAGGGAAGGTTGCCGACTTGGCCTGAGATCTAACCTCTCAACAGGGGGCTCCTTCACTCTGGCAGTGGTCGAAAAGTCCCAAAGTGCCCTCAAAACCCGAAACTTGCACCCTAAACCCTAAACCCTATACCCTAAACCCTAAACCCTAAACCCTAAACTCTAAACCCTCGGAAAGCTTCCTTATGTATCCCGGGCCTTTGTCGAAAGCCACAATTTCGGAGAGCTCTGCCATGCCTGGAGGATCTTCTGACTGTCTCGTAGTAGGGAAGGAGGGAAGGAGGGAAGGAGGGAAGGAGGGAAGGAGGGAAGGAGGGAAGGAGGGAAGGAGGGAAGGAGGGAAGGAGGGAAGGAGGGAAGGAGGGAATGAGAGGGTTTCGGGTTTAGGGTTTAGGGTTTCGGGTTTAGGGTCTAGGGTTTGGGGTTTGGGGTTTGGGGTTTGGGGTTTGGGGTTTGGGGTTTGGGGTTTGGGGTTTGGGGTTTGGGGTTTGGGGTTTGGGGTTTGGGGTTTGGGGTTTGGGGTTTGGGGTTTGGGGTTTAGGGTTTCCATTTAAGGGATTCGAAAGGGTACCTCATTCCCCCATTCCCTACTAAGAACCAGAGGATTTTTAGCTGCACTTTTGGGTGCTTCAGAGGTAGGTTCAAGGATGCTACGGGCCACACTCTACCTCCACTTCTTAAACCCCTCAACTCTAGCGCATCCCTCGGACGTCCCCATGTCATAGTACCCTGAAAACGACTCTTGCATGCTTGACTCTAAACCCGGACATGCCCCAAAACCACCTGGGTAGTTCTCTAGATTAGGGTCCCTTTGTGGGATCCTTTTTTAAAGGGTGCCGCCTTCTAAGGGGTACCCAAAAATGGGCCCTAATTTAGAAAACTGCCCATATGGTGGTTTCCGAACTTGGGGTGTCCTTATTGGGGTCGTTCTGATACGGGAATCCTGCTATTGGGGGGGGGGTCTGTTTTAGGGGGTTTCCTTATTTTCGTAAAACCCCGATATGGTTCAGAGGCTCACCGCAAGCTCTAGGTTGCGAATGGCTGAGGCCGATGCCCCAAGTCTACTCAGGACTGTTTGGTCTAAGGGTAGTTACATGGCCCCTTCATATGGGCCCCTAAATGGCCCTGTATACCCTACAAAACCCAAGGGGCCACATTGCGGCACCATGTAACTACCCTTAGAATTTTGCCCCACAGCCCCACTTTCTGTGACAATCTTCTTGAGAAGAAAAGCCCTGAGCACTCAGCACCTACGAAAGATCCCAACGAGGCCCCCAAACCCAAAACCCTAAACCTACTTGGAGGTTCATGGCACTTATTAACCAAGTATAACTGTACTTATAACCCACTTATGAGTCCCTTAAGTGCCCGAATATGGTTGTAAGTACAGTTATAAGTACAGTTATAATTGGTTAATAAATACCATGAACCTCCAAGCAGGGGACTGTTGCGAGGTGGAGCTTTTGGTTAACTTAAAGAGTGCGCAGACCAGATCCAGAAGACATTTGCCAAAACTTCCACCTCGCAACAACCCTTTCACAACCCCAAACGTCCCAACCCTAAACCCTACACCCTAAACCCTAAACCCTAAACGCTAAACCCCAAACCCTAAGCCCTAAACCCTAAACCCCAAACCCCAAACCCTGCGAGTTTTGAGGGAGCGGCTCCGGATGTGCTGCTCTCCCGTCGTCAAGCTGAGTGCCACCTCGGGGGCGTTTAGGGTTTAGGGTTTGGGGGTGGGGGGGGTTTAGGGTTTAGGGTTTAGGGTTTAGGGTTTCGGGTTTAGGGTTTAGGGTTTAGGGTTTAGGCTTCAGGGTTCAGGGCCGTTTGGGGAGGCATGTTGCAGCCTAGTGCCTTGAGGCGTTGGAGCTCTCAGCGCGAAGCCCTCAACAGAATGTTGCGGGTTGGGGCTGAGCCCCACCCCCTCCGCCCCCTATTTTGGGTTTAGGGTTTAGGGTTTAGGGTTTAGGGTTTAGGGTTTAGGGTTTAGGGTTTAGGGTTTAGGGTTTAGGGTAGATGACGGCCGGAAACTCCAAGACACCCTTCGCCCTGAACTTTCGGGGATGAGGACGTTGGGAATAACATCTCTTTAACCCCTGAACTCCACACCCCCAACCCTAAACACCCTAAAGGCCCTAAAGACCCTAACCAAAGACCCTGAAGGCCCTAAACCCGTTGAACCCTAAACTCGTTGAACTCAAAAACCTAAACCCTAAACACTAAAACCCTAAACCCTAAACCCCCAAACCCTAAGCAACGAACGCATTTCAAGACTCCCCCTCCCAGCGATTTTTTCAAAGCTGTTTGGAGAATCCGCGGCCCGGCTGGGGCCCCTTGCAGGTGCCAACATGCAGCCCGCAGGGTCATGGTGCCTGGGCTTAAGGCTTGGGGCCCAAGGCCTCCTCTTCCAGGATTTAGGGTTTAGGGTTTAGGGTTTAGGGGGTTTCGGGTTTAGGGTTTAGGGTTTAGGGTTTAGGGTTTGGGGGGTTTACGAAAATAGGGCCCCAATTTGTATTTCCCCAAGTAGTCGGATCTTCATGATAAAGACCCCAATACGGTACCCCAATTTCGGAAACCTTCATAAAAGGGAGACCGCTTAAGATGCAATATTCTGGTGGTTTAGGGTTTCGGGTTTCGGGTAACGGGCTATTTGGTACGATGCTAAGCTTGGTCTAGCCTGAGCCTGAGAAGCTTCCAAACAACCCTCACACTAATTACACCTAAAACCCAAGCCCGACTCTTCTCAAGACCTCAGAGTGCTTCCAGACCTGAAGCCTAAACCCTAAACTCTAAACCCCTAAACGCCTAAACCCTAAACCCTAAACCCCTAAACCCCTAAATTTGGGGTACCGTATTGGGGTCTTTATCATGAAGATCCGACTACTTGGGGAAATATAAATTGGGGCCCTATTTTCGTAAACCCCCCAAACCCTAAACCCTGAACCCTAAACCCTAAACCCTAAACCCTAAACCCTAAACCCTAAACCCAAACCCCCGAAGCATCATGTCCGAAGCTATGGTTGATTCTGGTTGACCGCCCGGGCCACACTCTCTGGAGCAGCTCAAGGGTTCCGGGGTCTGGGACTTGAAGGTTTAGGGTGCGTTCCCTCATTCCCGGGTTTAGGGTTTAGGGTTTAGGATTTAGGGTTTAGGGTTCCCTACTAAGAACCAGCCAATTTTAAGTGCCTTCTGCGGGCTTTCGGAGGGCTTCGGGAGGTTTTCCGGAGGCATGGGTAGTTACATGTCGGGTTCTACGTAGAATAACGATAACTCGCTGGTTGAAACCTTGTATGGGACACTTGCAACCCTACTAATAAGTGCCCTTGAATCTTCAAGTAGCCCTAAACTCTAAACCCTAAACCCTAAACCCTAAATCCTAAACTCTTAACCTTAACCCTTAACCCCTAACCCCTAACCCAGACCCTGAACCTCTTTGCCGGGAGGCCCTGGGCGATGTGGTGCAAAGTCCATGGGCTCGCCCGCGGGGTGCGGCGGGATCTGAACGCAAGGGGTTTAGGGTTTAGGGTTTAGGGTTTAGGGTTTAGGGTTTAGGCTTTAGGGTTTAGGGTTTAGGGTTTAGGGTTTAGGGCTTATCCCTGAAGCCTTTGATAAGTTTGCCCCAAAAGCCAGCAACCTCCAAGCATGGAACCTGGGCCCTGGGTTGAAGGTTTAGGGTTTAGGGTTTAGGGCTTAGGGTTTAGGGTTTAGGGTCTAGGGTTTAGGCCCAAACAGGTTACAACCTTCGAGGTTCCGGCGACTCCTGCGGGGATCAGAGTTTGGGGCAAACTCCAGACCCTGTCGTGTACAGTCCCTGAGACCTCAACTCCCAACCTTCTGCCCTGAATCCCAAACGCCAGCCCCCCCCCCCCCCCCACTCCCCTGCCCTCCTCCACCACCTCGTTTGATGTTGCGACGCTTTCCCCTCCCCATTGATGACTATACATGTGATCCGGCTGGGAGGCTGAAGAGGCATGAACCCCAGAGCCCTAGACTTTCGGTTAGTAGGGAACGAGGGAATGAGGTACCCCTATATCCCCCTATCTATACCCTTTAAGGGATTGCATAGGGTACCTCATTCCCTCATTCCCTTGCTAAGCAACAGTGAGCCTAACTCATTCTCCAGCCTGCCCGCACATCAGTGCCCGGTGTGAGGCTGTGCGGAAGAGGGAGAAGGCCCGAGCAGCCTGGCACGACAGGACCTGGCAGGTGGCTTTAACCCTAAACCCTAAACCCTAAACCCTAAATCCTAAACCCTAAACCTAAACCCAAGCAAAGCGTCGCGATCTTTTCTAGTGGGGGGGGGGGGGGGGGTGGCCAGGGTGTTGTAGAAGGGTCACCTCTTGAAAAGGCTCGTCTGCCTTTTTCCTCCTGGGCCCGGAGCAGCGCTAACGGATACAAATGCTGACCAGAAAAACAGGGACATCCGGTGCTAGAATATTGGACCAGAGAACGTTCCCCATTTTGACTCCGCCGCCGCTTTGCATCTCGGATCTGTGGGGATTGGGGATTGGTGTGGAGGCGGTTTGGGCTTGGGTGTAACCTGGATTTCGGGTCAAGAGGACCCCAAACCCTATATCACCCTAAACCCTAAACCCTAAACCCTGTAACCCTGTAACCCTATAACCCCAAACCCTCACTGCTCCTAAGGCCTCGTAGACCCCAACCAAGTCGTGCAGCAGGTGCGGAGCCATCCTGGCCAAGGATTAGGGCTTGGGGTTTAGGGATTAGGGTTTAGGGTTTTAGGGCTTAGGGTTTAGGGTTTAGGGTTTAGGGTTTTAGGGCTTAGGGTTTAGGGTTTAGGGTTTAGGGTTTAGGGTTTAGGGTTTAGGGTTTAGGGTTTAGGGTTTAGGGTTTTAGGGTTTAGGGTTTAGGGCTGAGGGCGCTGGAACTCTTCAGGGACCTTACACTTATCATCGGGGTCCTTGCTCTGAGTTACGTGGCGGTACTTGGAGGTTCAGGTTAGAAGTAGGGCAACGAAAAGTATAAACCCTAAACCCTGAACCCTAGACCCTAAACCCTAAACCCCTAGGGTGCTTGTATTCCTTGCTGCAGGGGCATTGGGCCCTCTGGGTTTGGTGCTTAGGAATCACAAACGGGCCTTGAACGCCATGACCGCTTTGGGTTTTGGGTTTTGGGTTTAGGGTTTAGGGTTTAGGGTTTAGGGTTTAGGGTTCAGGGTCGAGGGTCTAGGGTTTCAGGGCACGACTTGAGCGTTTAAGGGGCGCTTCTCCTCCTCCTACTCCAAGGCTGGAGCACTTGAACCCTGAATTTCGTAAACCCTGCACTTCCTACAGGACTAAGACGGGCTTAGTCGGTGAGTCTAGGTCTTCCTTGAAGGATCCAGAAGAAGTTCTCGGCTATCGGCTTGCCCCAAAACCATGCCCAAATTGAACTCTCACAAACCTCCGAACCCTAGCACCCCAACACCACGAGGCCCTGAACCCTAGACCCTAAACCCTAAGCCCGAAACCCTAAACCCCAAATCCCTGCAAAATGACGCCCCGCTTGTCTCCCTGAGGCCTCGTAGTGGTGTCACCCACACCCAGCTGCCCATGGGAATTCAAGCCCCACGAGTAGGCACCTCGCATGGGTGGAAGAACTCAATCTGAGGGTTTAGGGTTTAGGGTTTACGGTTTAGAGTTTAGGAGGGTTTAGGGTGGTTTAGGGTGGTTTAGGGTGGTTTAGGGTGGTTTCGGGTGGTTTAGGGTGGTTTAGGGTGGTTCAGGGGGTTTAGGGGGTTTAGGGTTTGGGGTTTGGGGTTTAGAGTTTAGGGTTTCGTGGGCGAAAGGACGGCATTTCGGGGTTCAAGTCAGGCTACGACTTGGAGGTTCATGGGTACTTCTAAGCGGAGCTATAAGTAGGGCAACTATGCGGTTATGTCATTGGGCAATAAACACGTTGAGGGCACGTTCTATGGTATTCTAAGTCCTACTTGCTACCGATGAACCTGCATGTATGCATTGTCAGAGAGGGCAAGAGGTCCTTAGGGTTTGGTGTTTAATAATGTGTTTAAGTTTGCCCTAAAGCCAGAGCCCTAAACCCAAAACTTTAAACCGAGTCTTTTAAAACTGCGGTCCGTTTTTTATTATAACACGGAGCTTTTGCCACCCGCAGGTTCATGGGTAGGTAGAAGTAGGGTTCTGAGCACCCTAGGGCTATGACAACTTCGGATCCCCCACTCATGACGCCACTTTAGGGTTTAGAGCTTAGGGTTTTTTTACCCTAAGATCAAACCGTTTAGGGTATAGACCCTAAAGCCTAAAACGCGAAGCCCAAACGACCTTGAGCCCTCAACTGTCAAAGTCATGGAAGTCCGTTTGCTGCAACTGGGCCTTACTGTCTGCAGTCGAGTCCATGCTAGTCCATACAGCAGCGGCAGACTTTCAAGAACCCTAAGCCCCGAATCTTCAACCGCAAGCCACGAAGTAGTCCTTCGGGGTTTGAGGCTTGGGGTATCGACTTCCTGCTTTTCGGATGGCACTCCGCGACACCAAGCGAACCTAAGCCTTAATCCTGAACGCCGGGAACGCTGGGAAAGCTGGGCTTCCTCGCGGCCATCTGTGCCGACAGCCAAAGAGTGGGCCTTAAGCAATATCTGCGTCTATGGGTCCGGTCTCAGGCTTGGGGGGGTGGCGAAACCCGAACTCCGAAACCCGAAACCCGAAACCCTAAACCCTAAACCCGAAACCCAAAACCCTAAACCCTAAACCCTCCATCTGGTGTTTAGGGGTGCAGGGTTCCATCGCCTCCCTGAAGTCATCCTGCCTGAGGATGCGTAGCTCATGGGCCCTCCAGGATGTTGGAGGATTAGGGTTTAGAGTTTAGGGTTTAGGGTTTAGGGGGGCTTCTGGGCTCGCAGTTCAGGCTTCAAGGCTTTTCAGGGTTTCAGGGTTGCAAGGTGGCAGCTGGGAGGCCCGACCCAGCCCGCAGCAACGGCAGCCACCTGCCATAACCCTAAACCCTCAACCCTAAACCCTAAACCCTAAACCCTCTACGGATTTGAGACCTGGGGCCGCTAGGTCTTGGAGAGTCTTCTGAAAGGTTTAAGGCGTTTGGGGCTTCAAGTGTAGAAGTAGAAGTATGAGCACAAGTGAAGTAAGTCGCCGCCGCCGCCGTCGGAGGAGGAGGAGGCTTGGAAGTTAGGGTTTAGGGTTTAGGGTTTAGGGTTTAGGGTTTAGGCTTTAGGGTTTAGGGTTTAGGGTTTAGGGTTTAGGATTTAGGGTTTAGGGTTTACTTATTCGTACCCAGGGAGAAGAGTACAGCTGCCATACGTATAACCCTACGGGGAACCTTATATACACTGACCAAGAACAGTACTATAAACCCTACTTCACATGCAACTACTACGAAAACACAGGTTAATCGCGTCCTAACCCCCTGCCCCGAAGGCCTGCGAAGGTATGCTGGTCAGAAGCTGCGGCTTGTACGTGGGCTTGGACTTCTGGCCGAGACCTGCGGGGTGCTTCGTTCATGACTGACAAGTCGGGTTCAGGATGCTTAAACCCCCACAAAGAGTATCGGTACACGGCTCAAGTTATGTTCCACCCTGGACCCCAGAATCACATGATACAGCGAGGGGAGTTTAGGCTGCAAGGCTTAAGGTTTAGTTGGGGTTTAGTAGGGATTAGGGTGTATGGTGCCCCTGGGCGTTGTATGGGGCTTGTCGGGAAACCAAGCCCCAGCAGATGAAAGACCAAGAAAGACTAACAAATAGATGTCCCGCGCACGCGCGCGCGCGCCCTTTGATGCTCCAGTGCTTGGCTTTGGGGTTAAGGGTTGCGGGCATTTATGATTTACGGATTCGGGTTTTATTTCAGCAGGCTGGCTCCACGGGCATGTGGCGCGGCCCCCAAAACCGCTGACCCCACCCACTGCTTAGCTCAGGGTTTAGGGTTTAGGGTTCAGGGTTCAGGGTTTAGGGTTTAGGATTTAGGGTCAGGGTCGAGGGTTTAGGGCCCGAAATTCTTGGGTCCAACAGGCAACACCCACATCCATTCCCCCCAAGCCTCCTACTTGGAGGTTCATTGGCAGGTATAACTCGGGCTATAAGTTGGAGAACCATGGTTTTAACCTTGCTTTGGCTACTCAAAAAACCTATTTGTGACGACCCATGAGCCTCCAAGTATGCTTCGGGAGCACGGGTGTAAGTCTAAGTCCATTGTCAGACGTGGTCCTGGCCTAGCTGGCCGCAGGTATTCTCACCTGGGTGACCGGTGGAGACAGGCTTTTGGGAATAAATCTACGGTAAATTCCACAGCTATTTGGCGCGTTCTGACACTCTAGCGAGCACTGCTCAGATGCCGCGGCCCCAACGAGGTGCGACCTAGTGAGAAAACCTTAAGTTAAGCTACCTACGTAAATTAATAGCCTCACACACAAGAGAAAACAAAAACAGCAGCAACCCAGCTCACGAAAACCGTGCTCAAGACCATAAGCCTAAAGCACGCGGTCTCTCTGAGGGGCTTTTATGGGTTTTAGGGTTTAGGGTTAGGGTTCCAGCACCCAGAGGAATGAACGGAGGACAGCTGTTTCTGCCCGATGGGGGTTTTGCAGGCCCAGGCCTGAAAAGGGGAACGAGGGGTTCGGGCTTAGGGTTTTAGGGTGGGTTTAGGGTTTAGGGTTTAGGGTTTAGGGTTTAGGGTTTAGGGTTTAGGGTTTAGGATTTAGGGTTTAGGGTTTAGGGTTTAGGGTGTAGGGTTTAGGATTTAGGGCTTAGGGTTTAGGGTTTAGGGGCCCTTTGGGTTTTAGCGTTTAGGGTCTAGGGGTCCTAGGAACTAAGGTTCAAGCCTCCGAACCTCTGAAGAAATACATAGAAGCCCTTTCGGCGCTTTTGGCCTGCTTCCGCAGTGACCCGCCAGCAAAGCTTCACCAAGCAACCTCCAAAAACAACACGCAGACCTGGCAAACTTTACCCTACTTGAAGGTTCATGGTTTCATACGAGTAGGGCACAAAGCACCCCTAAAACAGGTTTAACCAGTCAAAACTCTAGTTACCCTGATTATACCTACCCAACCTCCGATTACAAGCCCCTCACCCCTTCTCAAAGGCACCGGCAGCTTGGGTTTTGCAGGGCTTTGGGGGCCCAGGGTTTAGGGGTTTAGGGTTTAGGGTTTAGGGTTTAGGGTTGAGGGTTGAGGGTTGAGGGCTGAGGGTTGAGGGTTGAGGGTTGAGGGTTGAGGGGTGAGGGTTGAGGGTTGAGGGTTGAGGGTTTAGGGCAATCTGAACCCAGTCCTCTTCAGCCCCACAAAGCCCGGCGAACTGAGCATCCTGCAACTGGGGGTCCTTGTTGCGAAACCCCGAACCCTAAACCCTAAACCCTAAACCCTCCTACATTCCTACATGAAGGAATAGCCTGTAAACTCTTGGAGTCCCCGGCCCCAGGTGATGCACTGCTGCATCTCCGTGCGCGCCACCACGTGCGAGTGCCCGCAGCTAATCTGCCCAGTTTTTGGGGAGTGAGGGGTTTAAGGTTTAGTAGGGTTTAGGGTTTAGGGGTTTAGGGGTTTAGAGGTTTAGGGGTTTAGGGGCTTGCGGGTTTAGGAGTGTAGAGGCTTCTTGGCTTCCGGGTTTCGGGCTTTGGCTGAGTTTCGGGCTTGTCCTGGAGAAGGGGAGGGGTGGGGGGGTCTGTCGTTTCTTCGCGTAAAGAGTAAAGACACTTCATCTTGCTTCTGCATAGTACTTGCACCTGCGATCAATGCATGTCATGAAGTAGGGTAGACATTTCTTGTATCCCCAAAGGGACACCAAATATATACACTCACCAATTTTAAAAAGGAACCTTATAAACACTCACCAAACACCGAGAAATAAAACCTGCTTCATGTAATCTTTTGGAACCATATGATTCTGGATGGGGCGCCAAGTTCAACGATTTTTTGAGTGAATGAAGACTCCCATCATTAAAACGCGTCAACCCCAAATTCGATCAGTGCATATCAAGGGACTAAATATGCTTCTTCGATGATTAAAAATACCAGAATGCAGAATAAGAGCGCGTAACTTAACGATACTAAGCTACCAATCTGGGAGGTGGCCTCATATAATACATGGCATAATGTTAATGATGTTTCGACACTGCACAACTTAACTACTGCAATTAGACTTGCATTGCCCCTCATGATTAGAGGCAAGCTTGTTTGACTAGTCAAGTAATGCAGAGGACGGAGCTGGTTGCCGGGGAACGGAGATTTCGTGCACCCATGTGCCGGAAAGGGGCTGTTTGAGCATTGGCAACCCCTCCCCGACTGAAACCCTAAACCCTAAACCCTAAACCCTAAACCCTAAACCCTAAACCCTAAACCCTAAACCCTAAACCCGAGCCTCCGTGACCTTGAACGGCGTGACCTCGCAAATCAGGCTTTGCGAAAAGAACTAAACCCTAAACCCTAAACCCTAAACCCTAAACCCTAAACCCTAAACCCTAAACCCTGAACCTTACACGAAGCCGCAGCCTGGAACTCAGGCTGTTTGTCCTCCTACTTGAAGGTTCAGGGGTAGTTCTAAGTCGGGTTGGAAGGACCCTAAATGAGGTTGCAACCAGTCATAGCTCTAGTTGCCCTGAGGAAAATTCGAGCACTTGGGAGGAGGAACAAGGGCAGGGTTTAGGGTTGAGGGTTTAGGGTTTAGGGCTTAGGGTTAGGGTTCAGGGTTTAGGGTTTAGGGATGCTTGGGGATGCTTCTGGTTCAGGGGTTCATGGTAAACTGGCAGGGTCAAAAAAAGTGGGGGGGGGGGGGGGGGGGGGGGGGTATTTCTGTTCCCAAAGCCCCTGACCCCTAAATAAACCCCTGAACGACTAAACGGCCTAACTGGGGCCTTAGGGCCTTACGGGGTTTGGATATCACCTGGCAACTGCACATGAACCCTGCTTCAGCTGGGGTTTTATCTGAGCTGGGGCCCATTTAGGATCGCGACTAGAGCGCATTTTGCTTTTTCAGGATGCAGTGAACCCTATAACCCGAGAAACCTAGACCTTGCACCCCAGAGATTAGGGTACCACGAGGGGCCTGGGATTAAGATGGTAAGGCTCCTAGGGCTTACAGGGTGAGCTGTGGTTGAGGGTTAGGGTTTAGGGGCCTCAGGCTGCTTGACAGGCGAGTGAGTCCATTCTGACTTTGTGTTTGGGGGCTTTAGTCTCCCCCGCTGTGCGCTTGAGGAAGTTACACACGTGCATATGCATGCAGGCATACATAGGTGCAATCACCCGTACCTACATCTGTGCGCATACATAGGGGAAATTTCCCGGGACGACCCTTTTATACAGAAGAATCCCCACAGGTGATGCCCGAGACCCCCAAACCCTAAACCCTGAACCCTAAACCTGGAAAAATGTGTGTTGTATACTCTGCTCATCGACATCACCCTGGGCTGCCCGCAGACGGCGCAAAGCGCGGAACGGCCTCCACCTCGACCAGAAGAAACCCTAAACCCTAAACCCCAAACCCCAAACCCTAAACCCATCTGATGGGTTTTCGGTTCAGGAGCGACGTTCGGCCCTCAAGACCGGTACTTGCGGGTCAGGGGGTTCTCTGGGGATGAAAGGACGAGGGGTTACGGGATCCCCACATGCCAAGCTGCACAGGGTTTAGGGTTTAGGGTTTAGGGTTCAGGGTTCAGGGTTCAGGGTTCAGGGTTCAGGGTTCAGGGTTCAGGGTTTAGGGGCATCCGCACCTGCGTGAACAAGCCAGTCTCGCCGTAGAAGGCCTTGCCCCAGGAGTAGACATCCCCCTGCGCGACCGTTGCCGAGTTCTTAAACCCTAAACCCTAAACCCTTAACCCTTAACCCTTAACCCTAAGCCCTGAAAAACCTAACCCGTGGCTCATCTTGTGGAGTTCTTGGGGCACATTGGGGTTCCGTTCGGCATTTGCAGGGCGGTCTTGTTGAAGTGGGACTACAATGCTGCAGCGCGTAAGGGTATAGGTCTGTCAGATTAGGGGTTTAGGGTTTGGGGTCTAGGCTCAGGGTTTTGGATTTAGGGTTTAGGGTTGGGGTT